GCCCCAGCTCCAAGGTCATCGGCGGCTCCTTGCCCCAGGATAACCTCCACACTGTAGCCCCACGCCCACGGATTGGTCCCTTCCTAACTCCCAGCTGTATCTTTCACCATGGCTGATCCAGGCTGTACATTTCAGCCATGCCGACTCCTGCAGGCTGGTGAGTGTGCCACCGCCTCATGCTGTGTGGTATTTGCCTAAAACTCTTGACATTCCTTTCCTGTACATGCAGACAGCCACATGAGGAGCTTAGATTTGCTAGTAAAGCAGACTGGGGTGAATTCCCGTCTGCTTCTTCCTAACTGTATACATCTTCAACCTCTTTAAGTCTCCATTTTCTCATCTATAAAAAGGAGATGACAGTAGCAGCAACTTCAAAGGTGATACCTCATGAAACAAGACACACCGAAGCTCCGGGCCCTCAGTAAGCACTTGGTGTAACGTTTCTGATTATGGGGCCAACTCCTACCCTTTCTTCAAGATTCAACCCCAGAGTGACCAGCAGTTAGCGTAATGGCTATGTCACTGAACTCCCATGTAGTCGACTGCGGTTCAAGCCCCAGAACCGGTGACTTAAATTCACTCCGGGCACGTGTCATGCGTGCCCAAGATCCCGAGAGGAGAATGGAGGAGAGGGGATTACAGTATGGCCATTCCCCCTGGGGGGTGATTTCTTGCTTTCTGTTTCTCTGTGTCTCTCTCTGTCTTTCTGACGAGCACATCTGCCACATGCCCTATAGCAAAAAAAAAAAAAAAAATCGACCCCAGAATATCTCTATTGCCTCTGAAACTCTGCAAAAATTCTGAATTAACTGCTTTGGGCTTCCTGACACTCATCCATGTGTTGTACGCCAAGAGCTCCTTAAAAAAATTATATATATAAACTTGTTTTTTATTTCAAGAGCCTAGCTTAAAATCTAGTAGGCTCCTATGAAATATTTATTGAAAAAGTAAAATCAATCTGAACAGAGCCCTTTAAAAAGTGACACAGGGACCAGCAGGTGGTGTGCCGGTTAAGGCACCAGCCTATCACACGGTTGACCACAGTGTGAGTCTCAGGCCTGTCAGCTTGATTTCTCACTTTCTCTGTCTCTGATGAGTACATCTGCCCTACAGCAAATAGAAAGTAACGATGATAATAATAAATAAACTTAAATAATTGTTTTAAGGGGCCGGCAGGTGGCATAGTGGTTAAGGTGCTGGACACCCACATGGCCAACCACAGTTTGAGTACCAGACCTGGAGGCTTGAAACTCATGCTAGGCATGTGTGCACACAAGCATGCCCCAAATCTCAAGAAAAGCATGGAAGATAAGGGATTGCGGCGTGTCCACACCCTGTGGGTGGGGGGTGATTTCTCACTTTCTCTCTCTGTTTTTCTGTGTCTTGGCGGGTATACACACCCTATTGCAAAAATCTCTAAGAAATAATCATTCTTTTAAAAAATGACCCTTTAAATATTAACTTTTTGCCTTATCCTTTTAAGTTTATGAATTAATTCTTAATTAAGGCACGCCCCACAGGGTCCACATGCTGCAGGCTTAGATCACGGGCATGCTTGCATGTACAGAAGAGCCAGGGAGGCAAACCCAGGGCCTTTCCATGTGCCACGACCTGGCCCTCTTCCCTTAACATTTTAAGCGAACTGTGGTGCCCACTATGGCTCTACCCACGATCAAGGAAGGTTTGAGCAGCAGCTGTTTATGTCCAAGGCATTTACTAAGGCCTGCTTTCCTAAGGGAGAGTGATACAAACACCAGGATAAAGTCAAACACACAATCAGCAGGCCCCAAACTGGAAAACGCTCCCATTACCTCATCCGAAGCCAACCTTAAGCCTCAGCTCAGTCCAGGCCCAGACCTGACAGTCTGGCCATCCTCTGTGCATGGCTGTTTTTACTGAAAATGCTGCGTTCACATTCGGCACACGCAGATGATGCCTAAGTCTATGGAAGAAGCCTTCCTGGCTGCTTTTGCCACAGTCAGATCCCTGTGGCAGGTGACAGGAGAGAAAAGGCAGGCTATCCCACACAGCTCCACATTTGCTCTCTGCTCCCGGAGAGCATGTTCCCAACCCTGACTCAGGCTGCCTGCTCGCCTCATGCCATCACCAAGCTGCCCAGGTACCAAGTAAAGGTCAGAAGTAGGGAGGAGCAATGAGGACTTTTCCTAAAATGAAGTGCTAGGTTTTCTGGAACAGGTAAAAATAATCCCTGCCTCTCCCTGATCCCTAGGAAGTGGGGAAAAGGCATTTACTCAGCAGACATTTATTGAGCATCTATTAAGCATCTGACCCTTGTCGCACATAAGACCTAGCAACTCCTGTATTCTCTTTCCAGACCCACTCTCCGCTATTCCTTTCCTTCACAGGGAATGAAGCGTGATAGGGAAGGCAGTCAGCCCTACAGAGCTACCGGTTCATCAGGCTTTGGGTAAAGGAGACAACGCTGACTCCTTCCCTAGCAGGCTCCATGTGGTCAGGGCTTGGGCTCCTGGGAGCTAATGCAAGGTCCTAGTGGCAGAGCTATAGTTCCGAGGGCCTGCTATGTCTCAGATGGCTACCCTGTGTCCACACTGCTTAGTCTTGTGAATTATCCTCCAAGGTATTTCCCAAAGCCTTAAAATTTATTTTAAATCCCTTTGACAGAAACTTGGTTCTGAAGAATCTCTACAAAGGTCCAGAAAAAATGGACTTCTGAAACACTCACTCTACTGAACTCTGCTATTGGGTAGCTCAGGGAAGGCCTGCCCCGTGTTGCCACAACAGCCTGGACAAGCGGCTTGCTTGGATACCGTGAGCTCTGTTCCTTTCAGTACTTCCTTTCATTTCTCATCTGTAAACACTCATTCCTGTAACCACGTCTGAGTCACATGCCATGCCATGGGTCCATATGCTATTCACTCACTTGGGGGTATCAATACCTTTTATTGGGAGCTATCCTAAGAGCCACACATAACGCATGGGTCCTCAGCCTGTTTGGCTTAGCTCTCCCACCCTGTGCCTGAGAGAACTTGACAGACACTTGTAAATGCGTCCTGAAGGTGAGAGTGCGTCTACCTGAGGACACACCTCTGTCACTAGGCTGTCTCAGAGATACGGAGACCACAGGGAGAGCCCCCCCTGCTCCTATTTCTAAATACCCAGTAATGGGCCTCTAGTATCAGAAGGCCCCGATGTGCGAACCTCAGTACTAGGCTCCACTGCGGACAACCAGGTGTATGGCTGGGAGTCACGCTTTTTACTTGCATTCTAAGTCATGGTTTTGTAGAATGAGTGGATTGATCCAGACTTTAGTTCCGTGAAAGTAGAGATCATGTCTAGAGATCTGGACTAACAATGTGGCACAAAATACCTGAGTAACTACAGAAATAAACATACTAAGATTGTTTCACTCATCTCACTGGCCCAACATTCTCTGATACAATTTCCACCGGAAATGGGTGCTCAGATCAGAGCCACCTGTCTCTGCAGGCTGAGGTTGACACTGCTCATCTCTGTGCCACGCCTCTTCGTGATAGGAAAAGTGACCGCTTATTATAACTTACTATTCTTAGTAAAGGGAGTTTGGTTTTGCTTGTTTTTGCTTTCCAAAATAACCACAGGTACTACTACGGTGTAGTACACCACATCTGGGTTTACGGTTTGGGACAGGAGTTCTAGAGTCCGCAATCCGGCTTCTGAGGACTCAAAAAACCCACTGGTAGCAACGTTTTGTGTGTTCCAGACTTATGTGCGTTATTGGGGGAAGTGAGATTGTGGAAATCACCCTTTCTCCGGAAAAAAAAAGGACTAAGAACCCTACAGACTCAGCGGCCACTGTCAGCGTTTGCCCAGGACTCCATGCACGGAGGGGCAGCTCCTCGGACGCGGAGCCGGGCAGCGCCGCGGAGGGGCCGAGGGCCTCGAGGAGGGCGGCGGCGGCCCGGGCTTTACCTGGCGCACCCCCGCGACTCCATTCCTTTCCGGCTCGCCCCTTGGGCCCCCGCGGCTCGGGCATCTTCGTCCACATCCGCCTCATCCTCCCCGTCGCCGTCCTCGTCCAACGGGAAGCTCTGGGTGCCGAGGGGGGACAAGAGCGACAGGGTGGATTCGCTGCAGCTGAGCGACGGCGACGGCGACCACAGAGACCTCGCCGCCACCTCGGGCGCCTGGCTCGGGGCGCCGGTCATGACAGCAGAGAAGGAGCCCGAAGAGGGCCGAGACCCGGACCTGGAGTCGGCGCCGCACCAGGCATTGGGAGGGGAATAAGCCACCTCTCGCAGCCCCGGCACCCACATCGGGCCCGCCAAGTTCAAACGGGCCGAGTCGCGGCTGGGACGGGCTTTCCCAGCAGGCCCCGCGCGCGGCTGCTGCGCCAATCGGGGCTGAGACACGCCCGCGTTGCCCTGGCGACGCGTGGAGTCCGCCGGGGCTTTGTGCGGGCCTGCGCGGGGCGGCTCCCTCCGCGCCCGCCTCGCCGGGATACCGGGCCGGGAAAGTGCGCGCTGTTCCGCACTGCGCGTGCGCGCGCGTGACTCCGCCTCGCCGGAGCTCGGAGCGCACTGGTCACTGCGTGAAGCCGGGAAAGGGGCGGAAGCCAGAACCTTCCGTATAGGACAAGGTCAGGATTATAAGCATCGGTCGTGATTGCTCACAGAACAAGTTCGTATCTTATGGGAGCACGGGAGGAGGCGAACTTCATTTGATCAAGTTTACAGATCATCCGAGAATGCACTTTGGAGTCAGTATTTCGGCACCACGTTTGCTGGCATCCTAAAGGAACCCGTCTACGCAAGTGAATTTTTGGCTTCTTTCCTTAAAGCTTCCAGTATGTGTGCTAGGTGGGGTCTGTGCTCAGCACTGGGGAGAGAGGTTTACGATATAACTCGTGCCGACAAAACTGTGTACACGTGTAAATAAATACGACTCTTGTCCAATTCATGATTATCTAACTGATGGCAGTATCCCAGTGAAAACTGACAATAGTTCAAACACACACACGTTTTGTTTCTGATCAAAGAGTGATATGAAATCTTGGATGAAGTTTAGCTCTACTAATTTTGACACAGGAGAATTAGATATGGATGACATCACAATAACCATTCAGAAGGCAGAAGTTATAATAAAACATGATGGTTCAAACTATTTAAATGAAATATACTATTAAAAAGTTCAGTAAAAACAAAGCAAACATGGAAGAAACTTGGAGCAATTTATCTACGTAACAAAATTGATCAAAGAATAAAACTGAGAGTTTTCCTTCTCTACCTCAATTATTCAATATTGACATGTCTTTTATCAGAGCATCTCTAGAACCAATAACAATATCAAAAGGTCCTGGGCTGCTTTAGGGCCTCATAAGGAGGTAAGTTGTGAAGTTACTTCCCTGTAGACATAACCTGACATAATCGAGTGGAATGGACAGACAGAAGCTTTAGTATGAAAGGGACTGGGATTTGAATCAATGATTTTCCTTATTCCAGTTTCCTTAAACAAGCCATATGACTATCCAATCTTGATTTACTCCTGTGGATAACAGAGAAATTGTCTACCTCTGAGTCATATTTATCCTCAAAACTTCTTGCTAGCACTTAGCAAATACAAGGGTAAATCATGTCACTTTAACTCCAGAATTTTTCCACTTGACGCTATTGAGGTGAGAATCTAGAATGTGGTGCCCTTTGCTGCCTCCTTCAGATGTTTTACTAAACAAAGCGTCCCCTTCAATGGTGCTTCGGGGTCATCCAACTATAGCATTCTGCTCTGGCTCTACTGGAGCCAGGCAGGAGTAAGGCAGAGGTCCATGGTACTGGTGCTGATGTCTAAACATAATTGAATCTGGTGATCTCCCTTCCATGCCTTTTCATTACTAGGGCTGAGAAACCATAAGGTAGGTAGAATTCTATCTACATGTACAAATAAGCACAAAAGAGACTCTCCCTTAAAGTTTTAGGGTACTCAGGCCAGCCATGTAGTCCACTGCTTAAGGGACCCAGATCCCACATGGCTGACATTTCAAGTCCCAGCCCCTGGTAGCTTGATCACACTGGGCACTGTGCGTGCATGCCCCAAATCCCAACAGGATAGAGGAATGGCAGCATGACCAAGCCCCATTGAGGGGTGCTTTTTCCCTCTGTCTCTGGCAAGCCTATCTGCCCACTGACAATTTAAAAAAAAAAGAAAAGTTTAAGGAAAAAGAGTTAAGGTAATGACTTAGTAACTTTGTAGCTACTACTTATTGATTTTAACTTTCATGGTATATCTGAGATAATTTTGTCAGAGGGCATGCGAACTAGCCAGAGAGACAGGCAGAGAGGGAGAGAATGGCGCATGATCACATTAAATTCTTTTCCCTCCAGAAAGACAGAAAGCGAGAAATCACCCCCCGGGGGGATGGCCACACCGCAATCCTTTCTCCTCCATTCTCTCGGGATCCTGGGCACGCACGCACACGCACCCGGCGTGACTTTCAAGCCACCCGATCCAGGACGCGAACCGTGGTCGACTACATGGGAGTCTAGTGACATACCATTACGCTAACTGCTGGTCCCTAGGGCCAGGATTTGAACCTCATAGTCAACCATGTGAGATCCAGCTTCTTTAACCATTAGGCCACAGGGCCAGTTCGAGATCGTTATTTTTGCCAACTCTAATATTATATAACAGAAGAGTGACTTCTGCTCAAAAATCCACCTCTGTCGTAACAGATATGCCATTACTAATTAGCTCTGAGACAATATATTAGCAGCTTTTAAAAATGTATCCCTGGACACATAGAATGAAGTATTTACAAATGAAACCATAGGAGGTCTGAAATCTGCTTTAAAATAGCCCAAGGGGCAGAAAGATGGGAGGGGGTTAATGAATGGGATGATGGTAATTGTTACAAAAGTAATGGGTGTAGAGGTTAGGGAGGAAGAGTAATTATACTATTCATTTTGTTAGGGAAACTTCAACATATATGAAGTTAAAAACAAATGCACACAAAAAATAGTAATATGTCCAGAATTAAGAGGAATTTGGAACCAGCAGTTAGCGTAATGGCTATGTCGCTGGACTCCCACGTAGTCGACCGCCGTTCACGTCCTGGACCCGGTAGCTTAAAACTCACTTCGGGCGCGTGTGCGTGCGTGTTCAAGATGATCCTGAAAGGAGAACGAAGGAGAAGGGATTATGGCGAGGCCATCCCCCCCTGGGGGGTGATTTCTCGCTTTCTGTCTCTGTCTGTCTGGCAAGCACACGTGCTCTATAGCAAAAATCTCTCAAAAAAGAAAAGAATTCAGTTCTGTTTTGGGGTTGATTTTCCTATGAGTCACGGATTTGTTTAAATTTCATTGTAAAATGAGGGCTCAACGATTTTTTGTTTTTTTTTTTTTTTTTTAGTTTATTTTTGCTCTAGGGTGCATATGCTCACCAGAAAGACAGAATTCACCCCTCCCCGGGGGATGGGGTGGTGGTGGCCACGCCGCAATCCCTTCTCCTACATTCTCCTCTCGGGATCTTGGGCACACACACACACATGTGTCTGGTATGAGTTTGAGCCACCGGGTCCAGGCCTCAAACCCTAGTCGACTACATGGGAGTCCAGCAACATAGCTATTATACCAACTGCTGGTCCCGGGCTTTACAATTTGAAGTACTGAAAATTTCTGAGCATCTAGGTAATTCACTGCAATTAGTATCATGTAGGTTTTTAAATCATTTGCTCTTAAGTAAAGATCTAATTGGTGATATTCTCTTAAATTTCCCAATTTGTTTTCCAGGAGTGAGGGTCAAACTCAAAAGGGATAGAACTTTACTTCTATACTTCAGCATAGTTTTATTAAATGTTTATAAATAAGTATCAAAATAGTGTTTTTAATGGTTACTACCAACCTTTCTCCTAATACTCTTCACTTAAAAAATACTTACCTTGGGCCCGAAGGTGGCATGATGGTTGGGATATTGGACTGCCAGGCTGACAGTGGTTTGAGCCCAGGAGCAGGCAGCTTGAGAGTCACACCGGGTACATGTGTGTGCATGACCAGAATCCCAAGGGGAGAATGGAGAAGGGATTGGAGCATGGCCATCTCTTCCAGGGGTGATTTCTCACTTTCTCTCTCTGTGTCTCTCCAGCAAGCATATACACCCTAAGGCAAAACAAAACAAAACAAAACAAAAGTACTTTGCTTACTTTAGCATTACGTATATTAATAAATATACCTAGTTATAAATTAAGGCAAAATAGATTGCTTTCTAGAAACTTTAATAATTCAAAGCACCGAGTACAATCTTGTATTTCATACGATATGTATAGCACAGTTTACCATATATTTCTTATATCTGCTATCCTAATATTTTAATGAATAAAATGAAAAGTTTGCAATAAAATGAAATTTAGGAAAAAGCCTTTTAATTAGGATCTTCTGACCAAGTTATGATTTAATATTTATCGGATGTGTAAATATACAAACATGATAGCGATTTTTAAAACTTGCAAATAGTTGGCCTTATAAAATTACAACACACTGTAAATAAATCCCTCCCACATTTTATACAAACTACATGATTTTGAGAAGGGATTGGAGCATGGCCATCTCTTCCAGGGGTGATTTCTCACTTTCTCTCTCTGTGTCTCTCCAGCAAGCATATACACCCTAAGGCAAAACAAAACAAAACAAAACAAAAGTACTTTGCTTACTTTAGCATTACGTATATTAATAAATATACCTAGTTATAAATTAAGGCAAAATAGATTGCTTTCTAGAAACTTTAATAATTCAAAGCACCGAGTACAATCTTGTATTTCATACGATATGTATAGCACAGTTTACCATATATTTCTTATATCTGCTATCCTAATATTTTAATGAATAAAATGAAAAGTTTGCAATAAAATGAAATTTAGGAAAAAGCCTTTTAATTAGGATCTTCTGACCAAGTTATGATTTAATATTTATCGGATGTGTAAATATACAAACATGATAGCGATTTTTAAAACTTGCAAATAGTTGGCCTTATAAAATTACAACACACTGTAAATAAATCCCTCCCACATTTTATACAAACTACATGATTTTGATATACAAAGATTCTGTTTTTATTACACTGACAATGTACAACCAAGACTATTTACAATGCAAAAAAGTATATAAACCACAATTTAACATTCTGCTACTGGCAGCTACTATAGTTTAGGAGGTAGCTTTAATTAAACAATGAACAGAAGCCACATTTCCCAACTTGTGTTCTAGAAATAATTTACATAAGATAAAAATTAATTATATGCACAGTATGTACAGTTTAATTATTAAACTGCAATCTAGCTTAAATTTTTTTTTTAGTCTATCCAGAATAACTAAAATGGCAGTGGGTTTGCTTTGATTTAGTGACTTGTTCAAAAAACGTATCGAACAATTATAACCTGAAAACTCCACATAGTAACTTGTCAAAAGCCTATCGATGAGAATTAAGTAAATTTTTTAATTTTTAAGGACATAAGAACTAAGCATTATTCCTTTTCGTTTTCTTCCTTAACGACATACCTATTTGATATTATCTTGTTTAACAGTTCAGCTATTGAATGGGCTCCTGTAAACCACAGTACAGAGACTGTATAGAAACATCCATGGAATAGCCTTACGTCCAGGAAATTCAGCTTATTTAAATAACAACTGTTAAACATGTTGTGTTCTAATTACTCCAGTTTCTTCCAATCAAATGCAATTTTTTTAAACTAGTTTACCTTTTGGCAGAATCGGAATTGTAAATACGTGACATGCCGACAAAATTGGAAAATATCAGCAGAGCCTAGGATCTTGGGAAGTGTTTATTGATGAGAGCGGTACATGGAGCCACCGAATCTCTCAAATACTGTCAACCCCCCCCTACTAGTGAGTAGTTAGCCAGATCTACTAAGCCCGTACAGATGGCCTCTCGCTCGCACACCACTAGGGAGTGTCTGCAGACACAGAGGAAGAGATGGCTGTGCTCACACCAATGCGTGTGTGATACCTGAAGGCCAAGTCTGATGTCCGGAAAAAAAATCGAACAGCTGTTAATACTGTTTTAAAAACATCTTCAGGTTTATCCATTACTTAAACAAAACGGATGCTTCTCTTATATCAAAGATGGAAACAGAAAACAGTAAGGTAATGCCTATGTACACTCTCACAGTTCTAGCTGGGAGACAATCCCTTTTTTGGCCCTGCAGTAAGTTGTCCTGAGATTAATGATTAAAGATTAGGTAAAATTAGCAAGACTTTTTCCCCAGTTACATAAAGTCACATTTCAAAAAAAATTTTAAAACAATATTAACAGCTGTTCTGTATCTTGTGCTTAATTTAGAAATTGGTATAAATTTACTTCATAGGAATCAGAAAAACTTAACATTCCTTTGCTATGCTAATACCTAAAATCTTCTCCAAGTTATAAATTTGCTTCAAAAAGACCACACATTGCTCAGACATTGTATTTTTCACCGATTTATAATTTAGGCGCCTGTCCTTTTTAAAAAATGACTGGTTTGCAAAATAAACTGCCACCTTTTCCTTCTTCCGCATGACACCAGGCAGTGAGAAAAGAAGTGTGTCCCAGGAAAAACTCAGATTAGGTTCACTCCATACACACCGTGATTTTGGTTGATGGGGGAAACAGGTACGGACACAGTAGTTCAGTCTCTAACTCTCGGGAGATTGTATGCATATCGCACCAACGGGAATCCTCGGCTCTGGTAGAAGCAAGCTCGTCCACAGGCCTGCACCTGGTCAGAACTGTCCGAGACAAAGGAGTCTTCTTCATCCGCATAGTCAGAGTGGGCTGACTGCGTGCCGCAGTCCGACCAGTAGCCCTCTGGTCTTTGGCAAGAAGCCACTGCCAACGCAGGACAGCTGTGTGATTTTATCAAGTGTTTGCACGAGACTGGCTTCGTCAAAAGAAATGACTGGCAGCAGTCACACACAGCCAGGTTACCCTGCAAGTGGGAGTACGTGCCACAGTCATAGTAGAACTCCTGGTCCCCACAGCCGCCTTGGCTACCGATGGAGACCGACACGGATCCGCTTTTCTTGGTAACACGCCGCTTCAGTAACTTCCAGTCTTCTTTAAACTTTGGGTTGAAGAAAACATACAGGACTGGATTCAGGCAGGCGGGCAAAGGGAAAAATATCAGCGTTACAGACTTCATTATCTCAGGGCTGATAGAGATAGCCGTGATCAATGGTGCAAATGAGAAGAAGGCGACGGGGCAGAAGAAGATGCAGTTGGTGAAGATCAGCCACGCCACGTGCTTGATCATGCAGGCTTGCGAGTTTTCTGAGAGGTCCTCTTTCTCCAGGTTGCAGTAGAGTTTAGTGTAGATAATGGCCATTAATAAAAACGCTAGGGAGTTTAACAGCACTAAAGTCACAGTGAATCCTAAGGATGGGGTTTCTCCCGTGGGAAACGGCAGGCACAGCGGTGATGCAGAGTACTCTCCTCTGTGGAAAAGGGGGAAACAGCCCGCTACCGCAGCACCCAGGAACGCGAAGACGGCAGCAGCCCGGAACTGTCTGAGATGATTGCTTTTCCCATTTTTCATCATAGCTTTTGCAGATAAGCTTCTTTCGACAGCGGCTAACATTAACAAAAAGATGGAGCTTTCTGAGGAGAACACGGCAAGAAACCCAGCTACCTTGCAGCCACTGCCGGTCTCCCACCAAATGCCAAATTCGGCGAATCTGCCCCAGGACACAGCATCAAGAAAAGTTAAGATGCCAGTGTAGATGCCCATGAATAAGTTAGACACAGAAATCAAGCCTGTGAACAATTTGGAGGGGGGTAGTGATGTGCAAGATGCAAACGTCGTTGAAATGACAAGCAGGTTGCAAAACAACGCGACCAAGAAAATGAACCACACAGTAAGACGGATCATCCAGCTTCCCAGCAAGTATTCACAGGGCTTAAAAGCACCTACAGTGAAAAAGAGAGCAAGAGAGACATCAAAGACTATTTAGAAAACACCATGCTTCAGATAGGATATGGCTTAATGGAGAAATGATAGTTAAACCAGAATAATCAAACCTGCTACCTACTTGAATTGAACCAAAGCAAAAAGGTGACCATTTCTAAGATATTTTAGTCACAGGCTAGGCTATTTTTAAAATAAACTGACTTTGGGCCAGCAGGTGCCGGGGTGGTTAAGGCACTGGACTCCTACATGGTGGACCACAGCTCGAGTCACAGACCTGGAGGCTTGCTTTCTCTCTCTCTCTCCATAGTATCCACAGCCCTGACCTGGGGAAGCTTGTTAACATGCAGACCCTGGTGGTGAGAGGGTCTGAGCCTGAGAGCGTACAAGACATGCCTAAGCTGCTGGCACACAGACCACCCGAGTCAGATGCCTTCTGACATCCGCCTAGTACCACCTGAATTGTAGAAATCACAGTTATCCCTCAGAAATTTCAGACATATTTGCCTAATGTTTGTTTTGAGCAAGAGAGTACAGCAAGAGTGTGAGCATACCTGTTGAGGGTGTGCAATGGATAATTATTTGACTATGTTCATTTTCAGCACTGCTTGTTACATTTGCCACATCAGAGGTACCTGAATGTATAACAACAGTTTAATTAAAACTACTGCAATTCAAAAGACACGCATTTCCTGTGGCTGGCAGGTGGCATGGTGGTTAAGGCACTGAACTCCCACATGGCCAACGGCAGTTCCAGTCCCAGACCTGGTGGCTTACTTTCTCACTTTCCCTTTCTCTCTCTCTCTCTCGCTGGTTAAATTCAAAATATTAATAATTATAACAACAAATAAAATTAAATAAATAACTCTTAAAGTAGGGGGCCCATATTTCTCTACAATTTTCCATAAATTCAGCTTGCACAAGGTTGTCAACATGAGAGGCCGGTGACCCAGGAAGTGCCATTTTTCTTACTCCATACGAATCCTTCACTAACTGATTACAAAAACAGAAAGACTGGGAACCAGCAGTTAGCGTAATGGCTATGTTGCTGGACTCCCACGTAGTCGACCGCGGTTCGTGTCCTGGACCCGGTGGCTTAAAACTCACGCTGGGCGCGTGTGCATGCGTGCCCAAGATCCCGAGAGGAGAATGGAGGAGAAGGGATTGCGGCATGACCATCCTCCCTGGGGGGTGATTTCTCGCTTTCTGTCTCTATGCCTGTCTCTGTCTGTTTGGCGAGCGCACGCGCCCTACTGTGAAAATCTCTCCCCCCCCAAAAAAAAAAAAAAAAACCAACAAAAAAAAAAAAAAAAAAAAACCAGAAAGACTGACTGATGCCTTCAGGAGTGTTCTGTTTCACTTGGTCTGTGCACTTGCCTTTCTCCTTTGTTGCACTGTGGTCTTGGAGGCTGTTATCGTCGGTGTTTAAATTTGCGTAAGAGTCGCACCCCCAAAATGCACAGCACTGATAAGCATATGGTACCGATAAAGACCTAGAGAAGAAAAAATTGTGAAATCTACACAGAATAGCAGCTTCACTGATAAGATTTTGTTTTGTAAAAAGCATTTCAATCTTTGAAAAAACGCCAGTCTAAGAGTCAGAAAGATCTGACTCCCATGTGCCTTAGGCTGGCCACTCATCCTTTCCCCAGCTCAGTTTCCTCATCTGTGAAAAAGAGTTCTGGTGTCTGATGAAACCGGGAGCTTCTCCCCTTTCGTAGCTCCTACAAGTGTGTGTAAATGGAACCATTAACACGTGACATGATAGTAATCTGCTGTGTAAGGTAAAGTCTCATGACTCCTTTTATAAATGTATCACCCATGCCCAATTTATCCCATGAAACTGGTAGTCTCATTTAAAATGAATACCTTCGGTCATTTTATGACCACACCATTAAGTTGAATTTACATTGCTCATATAAAGTAATGAAAATATTTACTCTCTTCTCCCACAATAATATTCTTAAACATACTTTCTACTATATTTAACAAGGTCCTCTATAAAGACTACATAGCGTTACGGCATTATATCAGAATCGTGTTAGGTTCAGACTTGATGTGGGTTCCGCCATCTTGTTGCCAATGCCAAGTCCACTGCGTAAAATCTAGTCTGCTGAGTAGCGGTGCTCTCTCTTCGAGAGCATCAGAGCTCCAGTTCACGTACTCAAAACTATGGAATAATGCCCATGTGCTATTTTTACCAGATTTGCAGGCATCCAGGTAGAAAATACTCTTACATTACAGCTTACTTAAAAAATCTGAGAACCCAGCAAAAAAAAAAAAAAAAAGACATGCTGTAATTTGGGAGCCTTCTATAACTTCAATGAAAAATAAGCAAAAACACACCTGAGATTAACAAAATCTTTTGCTGCTAAGGCTTCTTTCAGCTTGAAGTTGCCCATAAGTTTCAGTTGGTTTAACCCATTCAGGCCTTCCGTAGGAAATGAAGTTAGTTCATTGAAACTTACATCTCTGCAATGTGAGTGAGACTTCACGTTAACTTCTGAGACACACATCACAGGCAAACATCTGTGCACGCTTTAACATCATAATTATTAGAGGCCTAACACCAAGTGGCAGTGTGGTAACGTAACGGACCTAGCATGTATCCTGCCATCTGAGTAGCTGTCACCTTATCACCGAGTTTAGCATTTATTCATGAGAATAAGTTATCAGAAAACAATTTTGATTTGACGATGCTAAAACACAAGTTTTTCTAACACTGTTGACTGCTTTCATGATATTTTCGCATGAAGTCATCTACTTACAGGTTAGTTATTGGCCCAAGCCTGGCAAAAGCTCTGCTGTGAATTTCATGGATCAGGTTTCTACTCAGATCTCTGCAATTAGAAGAGTAACATGTTCGTCTTTGCAAATGAACCCTCAAAATGCCAGTCAGCTACTTAGGCTACTCTCTGGGATCTGAGGCAGTACACAATATCCCCAGCGAAATAACAAAAATTTTCAGTCTTGTCCAAAACTTGGACAAGTCTAGTTTATGTCAAATGCCTCTCCTTCACAACAATCTATTTCTTGGAACCTGTCCCCTGTAGCAGTAATTCTAGCTGACATCTGTTTCAAACAGTTGTGAATTTTCTCCACTCTGTCCCTCTGGTACCAGCTCAAAAATATAAACCATATGAAATAACCTTTGGTACCAATAACTAAGTGAGAAAAATTGCCCAACTCTGGACAACACTGAAAATAAAAACAAGCTTTAGATTATTTGCCTTCTCAAAGGTTACTGATAGGACCATCAATCAATATGCAAACAAGAGCATTCCTGAAGGGCTTCAGATAGCATTCTGTTCCTGCAGCAGGAAGTAAAAAATCAGGATCAACAGATCTCAGTACAGCAGGGGGAAAAAAAAAAAGGAGAGAGAGCGAGCTCCATATTCAGGAATGCACCCTGAGGAATTCTGACCTTACATAATTAATAGGGCAAAGAAACACTGTACACCCACACCTCAGCTGGGCCTCTATGGAAAGACTGAAGAAATTCATTCCATGACACACCTCCTGGATAACGGGAAACTTACACACTTGGTTCCAAATCATGAAAAGACGGGTTGTCACTGTTGGTGCTTAGCAGACCTCTAGAAATGAAGGTAGCCCTTTTCCCCAGGCCCACAGAAAACCTATCAGCACAAGAAGATCCAGCAACCCAGCCTCCAAAACATGTCCTAGTAGAACATGTTTTCTTTTTCTTTTTTTTTTTTTTAAGAGACTTTTGCTACAGGGTGTGTGCACTTGCCAGAGACAAAGATAGGTGGAAAGGGAGAAATCATCCCCTGGGGGAATGGCCACACCACAATCCCTTCTTTTCCATCCTCCTCTTGGAATTTTGGGCACACAAATACATGCACCTGGCCTGAGTTTCAAGCAGGTCCAGGACTTGAACCGCAAGTGACTATGTGAAAATCCAGTGATATAATCATTATGTCATCAGCTTATCCCCATATGTTTTATTTCTTAAAGGGATCTCATGGAAACCAGATTTGATATATGCAAATTCACTGTCAAGTTTTTAAGCATTTTAGTTTTTCTTTCTTTTTATTTTGGCGGGGGGGTGGGGGTGGGGGGAGAAGTTTATGCTATAGGGCGCGTGCACCAGAAAGACAGAAAGTGAGAAATCACCCCCCAGAGGGGGTGGCCACATCACAATCCCTTCTCCTCCATTCTCTTCTCAGGATCTTGGGCATACATGCACATGCGCCTGGCATGAGTTTAAGCCACCGGGTCTGGGACTGAAACCAAGGCCGACTACATGGGAGTCCAGCAACACAGCCATTATGCCATCTGCTGGTCCCATTAAGCATTTTCTGTATTAAAACATGTTTACTAAAGTTCTACGAGCAATGAGGCAACGAAGGACGTTTGTTTTACCTCTATTTTCCCAAGTGCTTATTAGGGCATATGGCACAAATATGTATTCAAATCATTGTATTTTTTTCTTAAGTGTTTCTTTGTTTTGTTTTTGGTTTTGTTTTTGGTTTTTTTCTTTTTCTTTTTTCTTTTTTCTTTTTTTTACTATAGGGTACATGCACTCACCGGAAAGAGAGGGACATACAGAATGAGAAATCAGCCCCCAGAGGGGATGGCCATGCCGCAATCCCTTCTCTTTCATTCTCCTCTTGGGATTTTGGAAATGCATGTGCATGTACACACATACACGCCCTCAGTGTGCCCTTCAAGCTGCAGGATTCAGGACTCGAACCATGCAGTCAGCCATGTGGGATCCAGCTGCTTTAACCACCACACCACCAGCTGGCCCCACATAATGTTTTTAAAGAGTACTTCTGTTGCACATGAGCTGTACTTGTAATAATAGATGCTCCAAAGATCAGCAAACTTTCTCTGGAGAGGGCTGATAGTAAATAATTTTGTTTTTGCAGGTTATATGGTCTCTGCCCGAGAATGGCGAAAGCAGCTCTGGCCTACGCTTGCAGGGCTGCCTGTTCCTCATCACAACGTTACAACAACAGGAGGCATTTCACCCTGCCCCCTGCTGTCACCTGCTCACCCTGCACAGATGAAGTAGCAAGCTTCTTTTGTAATTTGAAAACAAACTAGCTACTTCTCTCACAGTAAATGCATCTCACTTTTTTCGCTCATGTACAATATAAATAGTTAGCTAGAGTGAAAAACACCAAAAATGATTATAAAGTACCAAGTGGTAATGTGTGAACAACAATACTTACATAGCATAATTCATATCTTTATGTATATCTATCACCATGGGAATCATAATGCTATGTTAATTTACAGCTTGAAAAAAATGGATCTGTCTTTAATAATAAACAACTTTAATAATCATAGACAAACTTACAAAATCCTTAGTGATGTGAGGCCTTGAAAAGTTCCTTCCTTTATTTGGTAGATCTGATTACGCTGCAATGAACTGAAGAGAAAGAAACAGAGAGAAAAGGGAAAAAAAGAAAGAAAAATTATTTTTTACTTTGAAAAAGAACATTTCTTAGTTAAGCGTTTTCTGAATTTAAACACCCAATCATAGGTAACACTGACTGATCTTATTTGAAGTAAAAGGAGCTGCCATTTCCTTGTCCATGAAATGAGAAGGTTAGACAAACGGGCATCCGTTCTGGAGTATACTGGGAGTTCCCTGGTATGCTTACCTAGGTTCCCCATCAGCCCACTCCACCATGACACAGTGAGAAAGACCCACAACAGCCATGGCGTGAAGTCAGAAAAGGAGATCCAAAGGGGAAGAACTCACGTCTCCTTCCCCTCATCCCCCAGCCAGCCTCGTCCACAGCCATCCCATGTGGGTGCATGGCAGGTCCTGCTGCCCACGTCTGTTTCCCACAATAAGCGGGACACGTTTTGATTGTCGTTTTATACACAACGCCCTCCCCACACACGTCCCACAGAACGCCTGCTAGATAAGCGCCTCATAAATCCTGGCTGCAAGAACACATCTGGCACAATCCGACGTTTTATTTATAGGAATACCTGAAAATTATGCTTATTCAAGCTATGTATTTAAAAAGGAATGCTAAACAAACGACACTACACCACAGCAAACAAAGGAAGCCAGGGCACAACTCACATCTCCTCCAGCGCGTGGCAACCATTAAAACTTGGAAGATCTCTTATGTTATTGTAAGACAAGTCCCTTAAAATAACAGAAACGAAGAAGTTAATGGTACATTGTCAGAGCGCTGTACATTTAAAGAGCTGTCCTCAGAGGCTAGCAGGTGGTGTGGTGGTTAAGGACGCCGGACTCCCACACGGCTGACCATGTCTTGAGTCCCGGACCTGGCAGCTTGCTTTCTCACTTTCTCTCTCCCTCTCTACCCCCGCTCCCTCTCCGGTCAAATTAAAAATAAATAAATAAATAAATAAACATAAAGTAATTCTGAAAAAAAAAAAAGAGAGCTGCACTCCGAAGCAGGCGCAGCACCTAATCTGTAATGGGGAGGTGGAGCTGCACAAGGACACCAGCTATCTTGTCCCTAAGACTGGCAACTTTCTTTCCTTTTTCTTTTTTTTTGGAGAGATTTTTACTGTAGGGCGCGTGCGCTCGCCAGACAGTCAGAGAGAGACATAGAGACAGAAAGCGAGAAATCACCCCCCAGAGGGGATGGTCACGCCGCAATCCCTTCTCCTCCATTCTCCTCTCGGGATCTTGGGCACGCATGCACACGCGCCCAGTGTGAGTTTTAAGCCACCAGGTCCGGGACACGAACCGCGGTCGACCACGTGGGAGTCCAGCGACATAGCCATTACGCTAACTGCTGGTTCCCTCTTTTCTTTTTCTTTTGGTAAGAATTATTTTAACTTTATTTATTTTATTTTTATTTGTTTAATTTATTTATTTTAATTTGACCAGAGAGGGACAGAGTGAGAAAGATAGAGAGAGGGAAAGCGAGAAAGCAAGCTGCCAGGTCCAGGACTCGAACCATAGTCGGCCATGTGGGAGTCCAGCACCACCACCTGCCAGCCTGAAGACTGGTAACTTTCTAGACCACCTCTATGATACATATGCTAAAGATTTATACAGTTTGGAAACAGCAGGTGCTGTGGTGGCTGGGGCGTAGGACTCCCACATGGCCAACTGTGGTTTGAGTCCAGGACCAGGAAGCTTGAAAATCATGCCAGGAGCATGTGCGTGCCCAACATCCCAGGACAAGAAGGAATGGAGGTGTGGCCATTCCCCCGAGGGGTGGCCTTCTCACTTTCCCTCTCTTTGTCTCTCTCCAGCTCAAACACACACTCTCTGGCCAAAAAAAAAGAAAAGAAAATTCAAGCACATAATGCTGATTATAGATAAAATATGTTGAAATATACAACAGAAATATATAAAAATGTAGACTATAAAATGGATTTTAACAGGTAAAGCTACAGACTTTTTAAAATAATTATTTATTTAACTTTATTTATTATTATTTTCCAGTTTGATCAGAGAGAGAAAGAAAGAGGGAAACAGAGAAAGCAAGCCACCAGGTCTGGAACTTACACCAGTCAGCCATGTGGGAGTCCAGAGCCTTTAACCACCACACTACCTGCTGGCCTCAAAGCTACAGATCTTTTGGAACCAGCAATTGGCGTAATGACTATGTTGGTAGAGTCCCATGTAGTAGACTGTGGTTTGAGTCCTGGACCCGGTGGCTTGAACTCATGCTGGGCGCGTGTGCGTGCGTGCCCAAGATCCCGAGAGGAGAATGGAGGAGAAGGGATTGCGGCGTGGCATCCCCCCGGGGAGTGATTTCTCACTTCCTGTCTCTCTGTCTCTCTCTGTCTTTCTTCTTTTTTTTTTTTTTTTTTTTTTTTTTTGTGTGTTTTTGCACACACGCCCGGCGTGAGTTTTAAGCCACCGGGTCTGGGATGCGAACCGTGGTTGACTACGTGGGAGTCCAGTGACACAGCCATTACGCTAACTGCTGGTTCCCTCTTTCTGTCTTTCTGACGAATGCACATACACCCTATAGCAAAAATCTCTCCAAAAAAAAAAAGAAAAGAAAGCTACAGATTTTTTAGAAACTATTTTTCCAATATTGTTTATGCCACAAATAATTTCTGTATTGTTCTATAGTTTTAAAATTATAAGCAGAATAGTGTGCTTACTTACATCTTTAAAAAAAAAAAAATTATATTGGGACCAACAGTTGGCCAAATGGCTATGTCACTGGATTCCCACGTAGTCGACCATAGTTTGAGTCCTGGACCTGGTGGCTTAAATTCACACCGGGCACATGTGCGCGCATGCCCAAGATCCTGAGAGGAGAATGGAGGAGAAGGGACTGTGGCATGGCCATCCCCCTGGGGGTGATTTCTCACTTTCTGTCCCCCTGTCTCTCTCTGTCTTTCTTGTGAGTGCATGCACCCTATAGAAATCACCCCCTGGGGGTGATTTCTCACTTTCTGTCCCTCTGTCTCTCTCTGTCTTTCTTGTGAGTGCATGCACCCTATAGCAAAAACCTCTCCCCAAAATTTTTTTTCATCATATTAAATTAAACTGAATCCCACTGCAGGCTTTCCTCAGCAGTGCCCTTCGTGTTTGGAATATGGGCCCCACTATACCATTTAATTACCTGCCGACTCGGCCACTTACTTGTTACTATGCCCCACTACGGAGTACTTATTAACCACGTGGTAACTTAACTGTGAGTTCTTGTAACATTTTTACACCCTTTACTTATTTTTAATTTCTAGGACAGCTTAAGTTTTTAGAAAGCTGCAGACTTAGTCCACTCATTTTTCAAGAAAGATTTAGGCTCTGCTTAGGTTATGGAGGAAACAGAAGAATGTGGGGGCCTAACACCCCCAGGGAAACTAGAAGGAGGAGGAGACAGGATAAGAAAATAAATTAAGGAAGACCCCCAGCTTGATTTTACTTTGTTCAAAATAAAGCATGAACAGAGCACATATATTTTTTTCTTTCCTTTTTACTGCCAGAGGGCGTGTGTGCGCTCCACAGAGGAACAGTGGGAGGGGGTGCGCAGAAAGCACAGCTCCCACGGGGCATGGTCACGCTGCACCCCCTTCTCCATTTCTGCATCTTGCTGGGATTTGGGGCGCACACGTGCACGAGCCCAGCATGGCTTTCAAGCCACCAGAGCAGGATTCAAACCACACAGCCGACCATGCGGGAGCTGGCTTCCTTAACTACTAGGCCAAGAGGCCAGCCCCAAAGTAATTTAATTCTGTACAAAATTAAGTATGTATGTATTCGTCATACTTAAATCTTAACCCAAATTCCATGCATATTTCCTACCTACCAGGCAGGCTACTGAAATGCCTTCTCATTTGCATGAAAAGAATGAATAGGGAATACTTAAACCACAAAATCGCATGAAATCATTCATGAAAATAATTCCTTAAAATAAAACTGAATATATGTGGAGTCCATGTACGAAAGGGGTGAGAAGGGAAGAAGAATCCAACTTACAAAGTCCTAAGCATCCTCTGTTCTTGGCACAAATTGGTAGGTATGCTGCTTATTTTTGTACCTGTCAAGGTCCTGTGGAAAAACATTGTTCATCTAAGAAATAATTCAAATTGAGATGGTAAACAAAATGCTTTCTCACATGGGAACTTGAATGCTTACATGTTTGTGTATGGACGACAGTCTACACGTCCAGCTGCCCAATGATACAGTTAGCCACATATGAAAGTGAATTAACTCTCCTCAATACCAATATTGTCTTCGAGTAACACAAAGAAACGCATGACCCCAGTTGTTAAACCGTCCAGATGATGGGCTTGATTTCCCGTGTGGACCAAGAGAAAAACACCAATCCACAGTCACCCTTTAACCACGATAATCTACAAACCTGGCACCTTCTCAAACCCAAAACATCTGAGACCAGCCTGGCATCCTGCTTCCAAAGCTTGTTGTTACCTTCTCTTTCGGTCAGCTGGGCGCAGTACTAGGAATAGCCATCCCTCAGAATCCTCAAGGGTACAAAATTTACAGGAAAGCTCAAGTCCCTTGCAGGAGCCACCCCCAGTGTTTCTGCCACCAATGCACTACTCTGTGTCACTGCAGATTGTTAATAATACCCAACAGCTGTTACACTGTATTCAGAGCCCCAGAGGAAGAAGAATCTGTGCATATTCAGTACAGAAGTAACCATCATCAACCTAACTACATTGTACATGTCCGCTACAACGTAACATTTTCAACTCTGAGTTGACTGGATCCTCAGAGAGCAGACCCCTCAGAGAGGGAGGGCCACTGTATTCTCTTTTCCTCTTTAAGCTCCAGCTGCAGCAACAACCACCAGCTCCTCTGCTTCCTTTCATTGCAGTGCTTCTAGCATCTAATCCTTTATTCCCATGTTTACCGCTATGATGCAGGTGGAGGGAAATGATGCAGGGGTGGAGGGTCCCAGAGAGACCATGCTGCGGGCTCTGGGGCAGCTCCGGGGATGAATGGGAGACCTGGCGCTCTCCTGCTTGGACGTGTGCATCCGGCCCAGTGGACTACTCCCATGGCCTGTCCCCACCGTGTCCTCCTCGCCCCTCCTGCTCAAACATTCATCACCTCCCAACTGCTGTAAGAAGCTCGTTTGAACTCCTTGGCCCGGGGCTCCCCAACTTCTCCCTCCACACAGTGGCATGTGTGAAACCCAAGGCCTCTGTGGCTATAGACTCCCAGTCGTATCTGCACCCCCTGGCTGTCTGGAGGCCGAGGTCAAACCTTGGAGGCACCTCTAGCTCCTTCACAGAACACTCCCTGGAAAACTTTATCATAACCAAATGTTCACGGTTCAAGGCTTATTACTGCACAAATGTGGTCCTTTTCACATTTTCCAAGTTTCTCTATGACTCCCCATCTGGCTATAAACATGTGACCACGTGTGAGCAGCTGCAGCTGATACCCGTAGGTCTTCCTGAGACTATTATCCATATTCCTGGTTTTACTACACCATGTCATTCTAAATAAAAACTCAGCCCTGGAGAACTTGGCAGTATTCAATTTTCCAACATTCCACCTCCTCCAACGAAGCCTTCTCTGATGGTCTGCTTCCACTTCCATTGGTCCACTTCTGAATTCCTCTAAGGCGGCCCTTAGTTACCACCTTATATTTTCAGTGACCTTTTCAGATCTTATCTCCACATACTTGGCCATGCTCTGCCTGGGTAGACTGACCCCAAACCCAATCTATCAATTTCCATTTAGGATATTTACAAAGGACGACTGGTGCAAACAGCACCAATCCGTCATCACTAAGTGTCCAGCACCCCCTTCCAGGGGCCACACTTACAGGCTCTCCAGATGGACGGTTCCGGTCAGATTGGGGAACCACTGCACCATGCTCGCACCCCGAATGACTCTAAGAAATTGGAATACGAAAAGGAATTTAGAAGAAAAGCCTTTTACAGATAATATTTTCATTGTAACTCTTGAATGCTTTAAAGTGACAGTACTAGGGCCAGCCCCGTGGTTTAGGGTTAAGGGAGCTCAGTCCCACACAGTCGACTATGACGTTGGAGTTGCAGACCCAGAACTTTGAAAAACATGTGGGGCACGTGTGTTCCCCAAATCCTGACAAGACGGTGAGAGGGAGAAGGGATGACGGTGAGAGGGAGAAGGGATAACGGTGTGATCATGCCCCACAGAGGGTGCTTTCTCTCCTCTCAGTTTCTGAGGGGACATGCCTAGGAAAATTTTTTAAAATAAGTAAATAGAACAAGTTTCTTTTTTTTTTTTAAAAAAAAAGGAATTATATAATTTTATTTATCCTTATTATTTTTTAATTTGCTACAAGGCACGTGTGCTCGCCAGAGAGAAAGAGAGAGAGAGCAAGCTGCAGTCTGGGACTAAGACCACAGTCAGCCGTGTGGGGTCCAGCGTGCCAACCCCCACACCACCTGCTGGCCCCACTTTTCTTTTTTAATTGCCGGAGAGTGCATGGATGCATGCAGGAGAAGAGGTGGAGAGCCCACCTCTTTATGGGGTGAGTGAAGAAGGAAGCAATCCCTTCTTCACTCTCCTTCCTGTCAAGATTTGGGGCATGTGTGCACATGTGCCGGCAGGTTCCAACCACTGTGGCTGGGATTTGAACTGCAGTCAGCCATGTGGGATCTGGCTCCCTTAACAACTAGGTTGTGGGACCTAGTTTCATCTAGCTCTAGTTTCATCTCTTGAATGCCCTTGAAAAAGTAATAATTAGGCCAAGTGGTCACAGAAATAAGAACCATTTTTAGAGTTAACTTTGATCTTCCACCCAAGGCGAGGGGAGAGGGCAAGAGTTAGGGGATGCTGGGAATAATAGATTTTGTTTTCTGGAGCCAGAGTAATACATTCTTGTTTTCCATTCAAACAGATGGAAATACATGTATAAATACTCAGATTTGTTTTAAAATTTGCATAATACTTACAAGGAATGCAGATCCGATAAATTGTGAAATGCCGAGTTCCCCACAAAAGACAGAGGATTATCATACAGGTGTCTGTAAAAGTATACAAAAAAGCACATTTTTATATGTTCACAAGCATTCTAGCATCACACCGAGGTTCACAATGTACATATATCTAAAAACTTGAATTTTCGTTCCACACCCAGATGTGTGGCATTGCACAGGCAGAGCTTGGCATGATAACATGTTACGGAACCTTTCAGAAATACTTACATGGTTCTTAACAGTGGATTACCACCAAATGCTCCATCAGGGATGACAGAAATAGAATTACTGTGAAATCCTCTAGAAAGACAGGAGAAAATTATTTTGAGATATATCTCCTTGGGGACAAGATAAAACCCAAGTGTCTAGAGCTACTCGGCATCATATAAAATACTGCTGGTCATCACGCAAACACCTTCGAAAACACAGGGAACATGAGTTTTTAACACCACGTCATCTCTTCCAACCAATTCTTTGTAAACCCACTGCTCAGCCAAGTACCTATCCGGTCCCTCAGATACATTTACCTGTTGTTTCATCATCGAAGAACATGAGATGATCAGGTGCTCTAACTTCAGAGTTCTCTCCCTGGGGCCTGCACTGACCTCCAGGCCAGGCACCCTAGAATGCCGGCTGTCGGCTCAGGACAGGCAATCCCTGCTGTGCCATGTGCATGCCTACGCCAACTCTGCAATGTGTCCTCGTCCCTTTGACTGATTTAAATATTTCATTTCTTCAAGTCTGGCCAAATTCTATTCCTTTAAGTGATGCCTTCCAAGAGACCCCAAGCCTCAGCGAGGTCGTTTTCTGGAGTGGTGTATTTATCCCACCCGTTCAGCACTTCTTCCTACCTCAGACAGGTAACTGCCGATCGTCAGTGGCCTGCCTCCCCAGTGAGACCAAGACCACGAGCCCCGCAAAGGCAGGGACCTGCGTGACCGTGCAGAGCAATCTGGCCAGCCGACACGATCTCATCAGCAAGACTGTGTGTGTTTGTGTGTGTTGTGGAGATAATGCAAAGGGAACAAAGATGATTTAAAATCTCATTTGTTGGAACATGAAATAGTGAAGTCTAGAAATATCAAGGCACACCGAGAACAAAGCAATACTCACAGCTCTTTCAGACTAGGAAGGGCTTTAATAGCCTGAGGAAATTCCCCTAAATTATTATAATTCAAGTCCCTAGAAAACAATGGGGGAAAATATGTAAGAATATTGAACAGCAGGTAAAATTCATAAGGCATTTTGGTACAGATGTACTTTAAAAGATCACATCCACTGAATGACAATCTTTCTTTACCAACCATATGATCACTCGAAACCCTGTAGGAGTTTACTGTGTGCACATCCTCTCTCAGAATACAGAATAGAAACAGGGCTGGCCAGTGGCGTGGTGGTAAAGGGTGCTGGACTCCCACATGGCTGACCGCGGTTCAAGTTCCGGGCCGGTGGCTTGCTTTCTCTCTCTCCCTCTCTCTCTCTCTCTCTTTCACTCTGTCCCTCTCTGGTCAAATTGAAATAAGTAAATAAATAAAGTTAAATAAAAAAATAATTCTTTAAAAAAAATTTAAAAAGAATTCTAGGAAGCAGTTATTTTAAAAAAGAAAAAAGAATGCAGAATAGAAATAAATCATGCCTCCATGATGTTCTTAGGCCAATATATTTACAAGTTTAAAGAATTCTTAGAATTGCATGTTACTGATGTGTTAAAAAATATCTGAATATTTCTCAGGAAGTTCACCATAAAATAGAGCGTATTAAATACCCATTTGTAAATGGCAATCGTGTGAAACTGAGGTTTTCACTTGGAATTTGGAGTGGCTTCCTGAATTGCAGTATGAGGACAGCTGACCTCAGCCCACTCTCAACGAGATGACGTGAGATAAGACCAACCAGGGCTAGGGTGGATTCCCACAGCCGGTGTCCTCCTGAAGGCTACAAACTATGAGAATGTTATAAAAATTAGGAGAGAGACAAGTCACAGTGGTCTGTGCTAAAACGTCTGTCTGAAAGGTTTAAATTGTAACTTTTCACCTAAAGAGAATACTGACATAGATTAGCAAACTTGATTTCAGAGTAAGAATAAAGCAAAGAGGAAAGACCAGCTCCTTCAAGACCTATTTTGTTTTCCTTTTCTACATGGAAGAAAGAATGGTAAACAAAAATAAGCTAACTAGCAAAAAGAGGTTTCCTTTCAACATAACTAAAATAGTACACTTGGGACCAGTAGGTGGCATGGTGGTTAAGGCACTGGACTCCCACGTGTCCAACCATGGTTTGAGTCCCAGAGCCAGTGGCTTGATGCGTCCCCGAGCCAGTGGCTGGAGACTCACACTGGGTGCATGTGTGTGTGTGTGTGTGTGTGTGCCCAAAATCCCAAGAGGATAATGGAGGAGAAGGCACTGTTGCATGGCCATATCCCTGGGGGTGATTTCTCACTTTCCCTTTCTCCAACTCTCCCGGTGAGTGCACACACCCTTTGGCAAAAACCTTGAAAAGGCACGTGAACTAGGATCAGGAGACTCACTTAGTTGTTAAACTAGAAATTACACATTTAGCCAAGGAGACCTCAGTTCAGAAGTACGTCCCTCAAGCTCTTCAACTTTCAAATACCATTGGTCTTCACTAGCCTCTAATTGTTTAGACAGAAAAGAACATTAATAGAGTTCTAGAAGATCTGAAGTCTTCTCACTACAGGTGGTTAACCAAAAAATTCAGTTAAAATATTACAGACTCTGCTTTGCAAGCAGGTTTTATTGCCCATCCACTTGGGACATTCTCTGAATCATTTACTATATCACAATAGCAAATACTATGTATCTTTGAGGAAAGGCAAGTAACATAATGAAAACAACAAAATTAAGATCGTACATCGATTACACACAGCTACACAATGTCTGTTACTATATAATGATGCAATGTATACTTGACACAGTCAGAAGTGCCAAGCACTTAAGCTACTGGAGACAACAATAAGAGTATCATAAGCAAAATATAAAATCTCAATTTGCTATATTTTAACATGTCAAAGAAGAGAGATTCAAATACAGTGTTCACACTTACGAAAACCACCGAGGACATGCGAGAAACAAAATATCCAGAATTCACTTCAGAAGTTCCAAAGTTCTAAAATTGTCATATACGTAACCAAATCAACATATTTGGAAAAGTATAAATCTTTGAAGATTAAGCTGATTTTAATGTGTCATCGGGGGGAATAAAAGAGTTTCACACTTATGTGCCATTTTTAATCACTAACCTAGATTTACTATTTGTAACTGGAAACTCAGATTGGTACTCAAAACTGTTATTTGATGGCAAGAATTTAGTTATGAATTAAAGCAATGTTAATAAAGAGCTGAACCAGTACCAGCAATTTGTAACCGGAAACTCAGATTGGTATTCAAAACTGTGTTATTTGATGGCAAGAATTTAGTTATGAATTAAAGCAATGTTAATAAAGAGCTGAACCAGTACCAGCATTTTCCCCTTTGTCTACAACGAAGCACAAACTGCACTGTCAATATCACAATAGAGTACTCAAAATATGAATATACTTACAAGGTCTCCAAGTTATCCAGTCCATCAAAACAGTGTTGGCCCAGGCTTTTAATTTTGTTGTTATGAAGATGCCTATAGAGAAAGCATCAAAATGACCTTTACATCTCCCTGTAGCAACTCCAGTAACTGTGTGACCTGTCTAAATTGGTGCAGCAGAAAGGAAAGACACAAACAAACATTTCCACTCTTGACCATGGAAAACAGCATTAATGCACACTGCACAGGCTCACTGAATATGGGATACCAACAGAAAGGAAAACTATCTTTAATGTATAAACGGTGCACATGTTAAATATTACTGCATATTGTCCCATATCAAAGTAAAGGTGTTTTTTAAAAATTATTTACTTTTTAATTTTTTAAAATTTATTCATTCATTTATTTCTTAATTTGACCAGAGAGAGACAGAGGGTGAGAGTGAGAGAGAGAGGAAGGGAGAAAGCAAGCCACCAGATTCAGGACTTGAACTCTGGTGGGCCAAGTGGGAGTGTCCAGCGCCTTAACCACCACGCCACCTGCTGGTCCCAAAATAAAGGTTTTGATTAGCTCTCGATTATATGAAGTGCATCTTTGCTGAGCTCTCCGACAGGGAGCCACAGGGAGCCGGAGGTAACGGGATGGGGGAAGTGTGTCAGTTTACTTCAGCAACCTTGGTAACAGGTTTTAAAAGACAGTCCCCTTTATTATGCCCAAGTTTTGAAAGATGGAAAACACAGAGAGTCAATATCAACAGATGGCATAGTGGTTATGTCACTGGACTCCTGTATGACTGGCTATGGTTCAAGTCCCAGACCTGGAGGCTTAAAACTCAAGCAGGGTATGTGTGCACACGCTCTCAAGATCTTGAGAGGAGAACAGAGAAGGGATTATGGCATGGCCGTTCCTCCTGAGGGGTGATTTCTCCCATTCCCTCTTACTGTGTCTGTCTCTTTCTCCCTCTGGAAAGCACATACACCCTAAGGCAAAACCTCTAAAAAAAAGAAGAAGAAGAAGAAAAATGAAAACACAGAAAGTCACCTACTCTTGGAACAGAACAGTTGAAGAAATATGAAGTATCTCTGGAACCTACTTCTATCAGCTTCTCAACACAGCTCAGCTTCTTTTAACATTGAACACATTGTCAAGACACAGGGAAAAGTGAGACGAATGTTTGCTGAATGACCCATTTCTTTTCATGCTTAAACATGTCATTTGTTTTAGGGAGATTCAACAATTATGATGATATAAGTTTTATCCATGCTCTGTTTCATATTTTTTAAAGTCAGCAGGTTTTTTTTTGGGGGGGGGGTTTGAGAGGTTTTTGCTATAGGGCACGTGCGCTCGCCAGAAAGACAGAGAAAGACAAAGAGACAGAAAGCGAGAAATCACCCCCCAGGGGGGATGGTCACACCACAATCCCTTCTCCTCCATTCTCCTCTCGGGATCCTGGGCACATACACACATGCGCCCAGCATGAGTTTAAGCCACCAGGTCCAGGACTCGAACCGTGGCCAACCATGTGGGAGTCCAGCGACATAGCCATTATGCCAACTGCTGGTCCCAAAGTCAGCAGGTTTAATCTCGTACTAAGGCAGCTCCTCCAAGCCAGCCCAGAACGACCAGTAAGATACTCTTCCAACAGTGTGTCACATGAAACCTGCTGCAGCCCCAGTGGACCCGGTGGGGGCTGTACAGGGTGGGTACTTACAGAACCACCAGGCTGGAAAGGTTGGTGAACGCGAAGTCAGGGATGCTCGAGATCTTGTTGAGGGCCAAGGTCAGCGCCTGCAGAGTCGGCAGGTTGCTCAGGGGGGGCAGGGACACCTCCGTCAGGCTGTTGTCATCCAGCCACAGATGGCGCAGCTGAACGAGCCCTTCAAAACTGTCCTCGGGGACTGAGGTGATGTGGTTGGCATCTAAACGCCTGGTGAGAAACAGAAACCAGTGCGTTCGGTGACGAGTTCTAGTGCAGTGAGTCAGTTTGAGTCACGCGACTCTCAGAACCTTCCAAGAAGGAGTTATAAAGATGACCCAGCCGTGGCGGCCCTTATTTGTGTGGTTTCACCAGAAGGCCTCGTATAACCTAGTAACCTTGCCAAGTCCAGTACGAAGTCAGTTCCTGCCCTTCCTTCATTACAAAGGGATGTGTCCAAGTTGTAGCCCTGGAAGTGTCTTTAATCATTGGCTAAGAAGTAACTTCATAGCAGGAAGATGAACAGAAGGAAGGAGGGAGGAAGAGGAAGGAAAGGGAGGAAGGAAAGCAGAGAGGGAATGAGAGGAAGGGGAGGGGAGGGAAGGGGAAGGAAGGGAAGGGAAGGGAAGGGAAGGGAAGGGAAGGGAAGGGAAGGGAAGAAGAAAAAACTGAGTTTGGATTGGAATTTGAGGTCTCAGAGTATACCTATCAAAAATACAGAAAGCAGAGCTGGACTATCCGTGGAGATAAAACGTGGTCTCTGGGCAGATGACCCATGTGGGGAAAGTTCCAGGTCGGGTTTGGAGTCCTCTCGGGGTGTGCCAGGCACACGCGGGCCCATGATCTGGGACTAGCTGACGCTAGGGTGGACCTCGGAGGCACAACCCTGTCGAAGGTGCCACTTCTCCCTCTGTCTCTCTCACACGTGGAAAAGATTCACTCATTTAGGGGCCAGCAAGGAGCCAGGTGATTAAGGGCACCGGACTCCCATATGGCCGACCATGGTTCAAGTCCTGGACCTGGCCTCTTGCTTGCTTCCTCGCTTTCTCTCTTTCTCACTCATTCTGTCCCTCTCCGGTCAAATTTAAATAAATAAATAAATAAAGCTAAATGAAATTATTCTTTTTAAAAATTACCCATTTAAAAAATCGAACAAACAGAAAACTAAGGAGAAACTAAGCTGAGAAACAAACACGGGACCTCCAATGTGACATTATAACTAATACAGCATGATAAAGTCAGCTGCTACTCTGATTGGAACCAAAGAGGAAATATTAGGACATATTTACAAAAAAAAAAAAAAATTTATAGCAGCAAACCACATCCATCGAGTCTCCCATCCTTATTACTACAATTTCTCACTCAGTACCATGTGTTGGCAAGGCAACTTCCCCTTTTTAGCACTAAGTACTTCCAAAATTCATTAAAATGAACAGTTATTAAGAAAAGGTCAAATTCCCCATAGGAAAAATTAAACAGCTTCTGCAATTAATGATATTGTGGCCTTAAAGCTTCAATTTTCCCCAAATTTGTGAATGAAGGACACCTTACTAATAGGATTACATACTTAAAATGAAGCCCCCTTCTGAAAATTCGGAAATGAAACCCTAAGTGTTACTGTTGGCACAATCGGGGTAACTGTCAACACGAAGACAAGCTGGCATCGTGAGCTGAGGGGCCGTGCGGGCTAATCACAACGCCCTCACCCCGTTTATGTACATTCATCTGCTGCCTCGGGGCCGACAGTCTCGGCTCTCCTTGTGAAAATGAGTGGACGTGGAAAACTGAGGAAAACGCACAGTGACAGACTATTGGAAAAGAAATGAAGCTGACAGCTCTCAAGTGCAGGGAGCCCCGGGTTTGTGCGTGGTTCTGCACCACTGATCTGACTCTGCTCCCACATGGGTTCCTGCCATCCTCATCCCTGACCCCGGCCTGTCCACGACCTGGCCCAGACACTCGCCTTCCCCAAGTGGGTTAACAGGGCTCAGAGACCACTGGGCTTGGCCAGTTCTGACGAGATAACAGAAAGCACCGAGGGATGGGAGAGCTTAGGAAGCTAAGGAGCTGCCTTAAGAATTTGCCTGTTAATGGGATGTGTATAGTATTCTCAACTGGACCGAGATGTGTAGCATGCTGGGTAAACTCTCCTTACAATCTAAATGATGTATAGTGATTCGATGTATAAATAATAATAATAATAATAAATTTTAAAATTAGAAAAAAATATTTTGTGCTCTGTAAAAATAAAAATAATAATTTGCCTAGAGGGATGGGCAGGTGGCATGGTGGTTAAGGTGCTAGACTCCCGCATGACCAATCATCATTAATGAGAGCCCCAGACCTGGCAACCTGCTTTCTCCTTTTCCTTCTCTTGCTCTTTTTCTCTGTCTCTTTTGGTCAAATTTAAAAAAATAATGATGGATAAAATTAAATGATTTTTAAAATAATCTGCCTAGAGGGGCCAGCAAGCGGTGTGATGGTTGGGGTGCTGGACTCCCACATGGCTGACCACAGTTCAAGTCCCAGATCTAATGGCTTTCTCTCTCTCTCACTGGTGAGTGTATATGCCCTACACCAAATTTTAAAAAAATTATAATTAATACAATTAAATAAATTGTAAAAAATAAAAATGAATCTGCCCAGAAACACACATTTCTACACAAATTCATTTGTTGGCCCTTCTAGAATTTACCCTGGGAAGAAACAGGTATCCTCAATAAATCAGACTGGCAAAGTACTTGGCTACAGAGCTATTTTAGATATTTGCTCCAGTGAATAGACAGGAATGTATTCAAACACACACACACACACACACACACACACCCAGAAATACAATTCACAGCCTCATGGAACTTCCATTGGTAGGAAGAGAAAGACACTAAGTACAAAATCATACAATTAACCGTACAGTGTAACAAAAGAATTAATGTAACAATTATACTTGTAGCTAATTTAACCGTGTGTGATTCCTTTGACACATTTATATTTGACACATTTATATCGAGTATTTCGTTAGGCACAAGGGATTAAGTGGTAACCATGACAGGCTCAGGCCCATCCCGAGACGTGTGACATAAAATATAATAAACACATTATAACCACAGAGAGCTTTAAAAAGTGCTCTGAAGTAAGAAAACGAGTACTAAGAGAAATGTCAATGAACTCTGAGGAAGGGGTAGCAAACACGCAGAAAGCATCTGGTCAAAGAAGGTAGCCAGTCAGAGCAGGGGCTGGGCAGGGACCGTTTTCCTCCAAGGAAAGAGAGGGCAGAGACGTAGCTGATATCGAGCTGGCCTGATCCACAGCTCCAAGAAGGTTCCAGAGAGTAGCGCGCAGGAGGGAGAGGGTGCAGGGCCCGGGGAGACACAACGCAGACGCACTAGGGTCCAGCTCTTCCAGCCACGTGCCAGGTGAGCAGTCTGGGTTGTATTTTAATTGCAGAGGGAAGTCGCTGCCCAGTTTTTGAGTGTTATGGTAGTTGAGACCATGCTAATGAGGGGTCAGTAGAGGCTGCGGTGGTTAAGGTACTGGACTCCCACACGGCTGACCACCACTGGAGTCACAGTCCTGGCAGCTTGCAAATTACACCAGGGACAGGTGCGCATATGCCCAAAATCCAGGAAGGAGAATGGAAGAGAAGGGATTGCAGCGAGGCCATCCCCTCAGGCTGGCTCTTTTTTTTTTTTTTTTTTTTGAGAGGTTTTCGCTATAGGGCGCGTGCGCTCGCCAGACAGACAGAGAGAGACATAGAGACAGAAAGCGAGAAATCACCCCCCAGGGGGGATGGTCACGCCGCAATCCCTTCTCCTCCATTCTCCTCTCGGGATCTTGGGCACGCACGCACACGCGCCCGGCGTGAGATTTAAGCCACCGGGTCCGGGACACGAACCGTGGTCGACTACGTGGGAGTTCAGCGACATAGCCATTACGCTAACTGCTGGTTCCCACCTCAGGCTGATTTCTCACCTTTTCTCTCTGCGTCTCTCCTGTGAGCACACATGCCCTACGGCAAAAACCTTAAGAAAAAGGTTGATACGATTTCAAACTCAATACAATATTGATCATTGTACCTGTAATACAGATGTAATATCCCATGGAAATTAAGTCCTTTCCATAAAAGTGATTCACTAATATAAGATAAAATACTCTAAGAGGACAATTGTCAGTACCTTTCTAACATAACCTAGCACCCACACGCAACAGTTATACTCCTTTGAACTTGAGGTCCTATTTCATCAAAGAAAAAGGGAGGGCCTTCATTTACAGCAGGATAGCCAGGGGAGTTTTGAGTTCCGATAGCAATGAAACTATCTCCTATACAAAACAATAACAGCACAATAAAATCAGAGATAATTTCCTCTGCACTAAAACTTTATCAGAGTTGTAAAGTCATACAGAAGAGATTAAAAGAAAGAACTGTGGAAAGAAGAAATCCTTAAATAAGTTAAGTGAGAAAAAGGATTTGTGGTTACTCAAATGGGTTGATTTTTTTTTTTTTCTTAAGAGAGAATTTTGCTATAAGGTGTGTACCCTTGCTGGAGAGACAAGGAGACAGAAAGCAATAAATCACCCACCCCCTAGGGGGGATGGCCACACTACAATCCCTTCTTCATTCTCCTCTCAGGATCTTGGGCATGCATGTACACACACCTGGTGGAGTTTGAAGCCACCGGATCTGGGACTCGAACCATGGTCAGCCAAGTGGGAGTCCAGGGCCTTAACCAGTACACCACCTGCTGGCCTTCAAATGAGTTGATCTTTCCAATTTTAGTATATGAGAAGTGGAAGTAAGCACTGAAATGGTTCATCTTTATGCCTCAGTTCACATATAGATGTGGGTGACACACCCATAAATGTAAAGAGTTTGCATTTACACTGAGATCAACACTTCACACAGAAATGATCTAGAACTGTGTCTTTGTCCCAGTGACTGACACTAATAAAATTCACCCTAATAGACCAAAAAAGAAAAAAAATATATCCTCTAGTTGATTATTTTAGTCAAAAGCTAAAAAGCATCTGGTAACCTCAAAAGTAGAGAAATTATGTGGGCTTGTTCAAGGTGTTCTACTATTTAAACTCCATCTGGCAAGAGACAAACTATCACTAAAATGCAATTTTATAGTTAAAAGGTTAGCAATGTAGTAACTGAATTCCCTTATTCTTGTGTTTCCCCCTTCCCTGTTCTCAAGAGCCTATTTTGTATCTGAAACTCACATATTTCAAAATTTCTTCTCTTAAATAAAACTACATTAGCAAACTAGTACTACATGCAGATATATACTGTTGAAAGTCTGTGTTATCAATAAACACTTATCTGTGCAAAGACTCATCTTCCTACTTACCAATAACGTAAATACTGTCATTACAAACTTTTTTTAAAATTATTGAGATAAACCTAGGAAATTTAATATTTGAGATTCTTTACTATTCAATATAAAGGAAAAATTCCAGTGGAGCCTGTTTTGACATGTCACTTTTTTGGGGGGAAGGGGGGGTTTGCTATAGGGCATGTATGCTCACCAGAAAGACAGAGAGAGACAGAGAGACAGAAAGCAAGAACTCATTCCCCTCCCCCACCCGATGGCCTCACCACAATCCCTTCTCCTCCATTTTCCTCTTGGGATCTTGGGCACACATGCACATGCACTCAGCGTGAGTTTAAGCCACCAGGTCCGGGACTCGAACCATGGTCAAGTACATCGGAGTCCAGTGACATAGCCATTATGCCAACTTCTTGTCCTGACATGTCACTTTTTAAAATGCTGATTTTATTTCTTTTTAGAGAGAGAGAGACAGATACCCTCACAGCAGGCCCCCTTGACAGAGTTTTGTCCCTAGGCTTCCAGTCAGCCAGGATGATAGGCCCACATGTATGTGCCTGCATGTCCAGACCCGCCTGTGACCTCAATCCCCAGTCTTCCACAAGGCTTCCAACTTCCCCACTCCCCCACGGCCCCCCACCACCTATGCAACTGCCACTGGGCCTGAAAGGTCATTCAGTATCCTGCTCAGGTCATGCCTTGGCCATTTTCACGGCTTAGCAGGAGGCTGCTATGCTAACTTTTTATTAATTACAATCAATTCACTTTCACATTTTATGTCTCCATCAAGCACATGCTTGCAACAAACCACTTCTGGTCAATTTCAACCCCCAATGAACTTTGCTCCTTTTAAGCACTGTTCAAAACCACAAGGAAATCTCTCATGTAATTCAGGTCTGAAGATCAGATTTTCAAACTGACTCAAGTGCTGATAAGACTGTTTGACACAATGACAGAATTTCAATTGTATCCACACCTTGCCACTGCCCCACAATGCTAACAAACACCAAAGCATTTCCTTCTTACATAAAACAGACCTGACACAAAATAGCTCCTTGGGTTTCTGATACATCTGAAGCACCCCAAAAGCTTTTTAAATACATGTGACTGCACTCCTTACCCCTATCCCAGTTTTGATACAAAACAACTCACACAATGCCTGATGAGCATAGTATGCTTTTTTTGTTTTTTTGAAAAGTTTTTGCTATAGGGCACGTGCGCTTGCCAGAAAGACAGAAAGACAGAGACAGAAAGCAAGAAATCACCCTCCAGGGGGGATTGGCCACACCGCAATCCCTTCTCCTCTTGGGATCTTGGGCAGGCACGCACACATGCCTGGCGTCAGTTTAAGCCACCAGGTCCAGGACTAAAACAGTGGTTGACTACATGGGAGTACAGAGACATAGTCATTACACCAACTACTGGCCCCCATAATATGCTTTTTTAAAACATCATTTTAGAGATGGAAACCTATGGTTTCTGGGAAAAATACTGCTGTAAATCCTACACTGCCAATAAATGTTATGTGCACTTTAACGTATGTATTGACCATGAATTAGAAAGAATCTAGTTGTATGTTTTCGTGATAATTTTTCTTTTCTAAAGTTGAAAATGAGATTCTAGTCTGTTCTTTTGTAGCCTACAGAAGAGACAAAATGCCTATGTATTTTAACCATTCAATCTTGGAAAGTAACAATACAGTATGAAGGTCTGGAAGTAAAATGAATTTGCAGGTGGCATGGTGGTTAAGGCGCTGGACTCCTCCACATGGCTGACCACAGATCAAGTCCCAGACTGGCAACTTACTTTCTCACTTTCTTTCTCTCTCTCCATGTCTCTCTGGTCAAATTAATACAAAAATTATAATAAATAAAATTAAATAATTGTTTTACAAAAAGAAAGTAAGAATCAAATATCTAATGAATTCGGGTCTGAGAGAGTTCGGATGGTTCCCCTCCGTGTCTGTCTGTCCAAGATAAGAGACAGTATGTCAGCAAAGGAATATTTCTGCAAAAGAACTCATTTCAAAACAGATTAAAGAGTCCTCTCAGAACCTACCCATTAGCTGTGGTGAAAAACAAATTCTTATATCCCACAATTTACCATTTTGGCAAAGCAAACTGGTTAATCTATTCTATATTAAATTACTAATTTTTTTTTTGCTACAAAGGCCAACTCCTGAAATTACTCCTTCTTATAGCATCAGATACCCTCTTAAGATGAACTTTTACAGCATGTATTTTATTAGCACATATTTTTGATTTCACATTTGGTTCCCACTAGCTACTAGAATGATCTAAAATCAAATGATAATCTATAATTTACCATTACCAGTCATGTGTTTTGGGCAGTTACAAATGGTTTTACTTGAGCGAATGAATGGCCTTAAGCAGCTCAGTCATTTTCACCTAAGTTTTCTAACGCACCTGCACTTTCTATGAAAAGTTACATTCATAGTTACTTCAATGTATAATTTTTAAAAAGAAAAAGCTAAGTGCCGGATTCGTATCCAAATATGTGGGATAGTTAAAGCGTAACTGAGAATCCAGAACACATTAAGTGTGATGATTACAATTTTTTACGCAGAGTGATTTTAGGGAAATTTTTAAAATTACAGCTTCCTGGACCCTACCTACAAAGAGAAAACATCATTTCTTCAAGGCCATGGCCTGCAAACGTGCACTTCCGCGATCTCCACCTGGCTGTTCTGCTGCAGGTGGTCCAAGTGCCACACTTGGAGAAATCATGTCCTTTGTGTTGAGTATTTAGGACATGAAGTGAAGCCATGCAAATTTGCATTCATTATTCTAGCAGAAGCTAACAAAAGGCCTTGTTTGGAAGAATGTTCTGTCATTATTTCAAGAAGTTCCCTTCACCAAATTAGGTAAGCCGGTAATCAAAGGAAAGCGTGGCTGAAGTACAACACCACCATCATTAGTAGGTTCGGTGAGTGCTTACTGCACACTTACGTGCCAGACTGTTCTGAGGGCTTCTGGGCCTTCGAATACGGTGGGTAATGAGCTAACTGCAGAACGGCGTTTCAATACACAGCTCACCCAGCCTCACACAGCTGGGGAGGATTCCAAACCAGACAGGCTTGTTTCAGAATTCTAATTAATCTCTCTTTCTTGTGAAAGCAATGTAAACATTCTGAAACCTAAATATGCAAAGGGTTTTTCTTAATCTTGACAATAGTCAGATGACAAAGACCACATACTTTAAAGCGCAATGCTTCCCAACCTTTTTAAATGCCCCTAAAGACAAAGGAACTTGATTAGTCCTAACGCAAGACTGAAACATACATTCCCATCATTATCGAATACCTGTTTAATATAAAAATGATGGGGCTGGCAGATGGCATGGTGCTTGGGGCACTGAACTCCCACATGGCTGACCACAGTTCAAATCCCAGACCTGGTGGTTTACTTTCTCACCATCTCCACCCTCCCCCGTCTCTCTCTAGTCAAATTAAAAAATAAATAAATAAATAAAATTAAATAAGTGTGTGTGTGTGTGTGTGTGTGTATATATATATATATATATATATATGCATATGTATATATATATGTAAAAGCAATTGCTTCTTCAAAATCTGTGGATTTCCAGCTCCTGTGACAGCACTGTTATTTGAGCCAACCATCGAGGGGAAAAGCCGTAAGCTTGTCTAGTTCTGCAGACTGGAAACCAGGCCGCCTCAGTATGGTAGGCATGGACGGATATATTTAAGTGAAGTGTTCTTTGAAAAAGCTTTAAAATTAGTGATGAAATAGGATAAAACCAAGAGTTGAAACTTTACCCATGTCACGTCAACCCAAACCTCTCAGAAAGAAACACCTGGGAAGGAAGAGCTCGGGCAATGAAGTCGCCCACCCACCGGTAGTCAGCATCCCCACAAAAGGATACAGAATCGGTTTCTTCTGATTATCATTACCACCTGAAACAGAAACTGCCTTGGGGCTGTTTCGTAAAAGTTGGGGCCCGAGACTCTAGAACCCTGTGCACACTGGACTCTGGCTCCAAAGCGGCACTGGTCACCAGCCACGAGCAGCGAACACCAGGTAGCCTCCTCTCCCCAAGACTGTCGGGAACCACCTCCTTCTCCCTCAGCAAAGGACATTTTGATGCCAGCAACTGGCCAGCCCATGTTTACCCCAGATGAGGGGATAAATCTCCCTTCCCCGGGACTCCAGTTCTTTACACAGTGAGCAGCTGGGGTGGCCTTTTAATGACTGAAGAATGCAGAAAATCAAGCTGTTACTTACAAAGACTGCAAAGCACTCAGTCCTCGAATGGCTTCGCTGGGTACTGTTTTCAACTGATTGTTCTGGAGGGTTCTGCAAGAAAATTTTTGGTTAGTGGACAACAAGCAGTTGTTACCATTTCTTTCTTAGAAGAATCCAGAGCCATTTTTCCCCCAAAATATTTCCACAGCAGAAAAAGGAAGGGGTGGAGGTGGAGAGCACCCAAGACAAGGGAATTGCAGCAAGTCAAGAAGCAATTGTTACAGAGCCAGAAAGAAAACCTACGCCGCTGTCCCAAGCCATCTCCTAACAAAGACCTGCTGGTCAATTCTCATTTCCAGGGAGTGTTTCCTTCCCCGGAGTTCAGGCACCCTAGTTCCTCTTCATCACCATCGGCAGTGTTGAGTCCACGCTCATTGGAAAGTGTCAATTAATTGGGAGATAACATCAGCAAACCCATCAGAGTCACTAAAGCCCTCTCAAAGTGGAATATGGCAGGGCCCAGAAACATGGACCTCAGATCAAGCCAATTTAGCCAGGAGGGTATCAGACTCTGAGCTCTTGGGGAGCAGCCGCAGTGTCCCTGACACACACAGGCCATGTACAGGGCCAGGGCAGAAGCAGAGCTCGGCTATGTAACCACAGGGCCTGGAGAACGGAGGCTTAGATCCATGCGAAAATGAAATTCTTTTAATTTTGGCCCAAAGCCATTCCCGTCACATAAATATGGTCACCTGACCTGGATCGGAACCACAGAATGGAAGAAATTAAAG